GAAAAAGAGCTGTTGGGTGGTAAGGAAGTGGAGCCCACTTGTGGGAATATCGGATAGGATGGAACTCCCACTGAGCAAAACAGGAAGTGGCCCCCAAAATTCTGGGAAATTCTAAGAGGAGATGGTAAGCAAGGCACCCTATCTCACGTCTGCTAAATGGAAAATACGTTTGAAAATGCTACAAGCACCTGGTGTTTCTCTGATGATTCTCCACCAACCTGGCTGACTCACAAATTCGGAATTCAGGTAAGATCTCTCTTTACGCGACCTGTTTCATCTGAAATAATATTGAGATGATTGTAAAAACTTTGGCATTTATCAGCAGGCTTCCCAGCACATTTGGAGATGAAAAGCTGTTCCAGGTTGGCTTGGTATATAATACTGCTTAAAATTGGGGTTTGCCCTTTTGTTTACGTTTTGTCTGTGTTGGCTTGTGATTCACTGGATTTGCCTATCAGTGTTTATCGTTGTCTGTGATTCACACCCGTTCCCTCTTGTCTGTGCTTCGATTTGCACACGCAGCGGAAGTGCGCAGCGTTATATGTGTTTCCCTTATGCCGTGGATGTGTAATTAGAGTACTCTTTCGGAGGTTGAAATAGTACTTGGTTAGGGGTCATTTCAAAATCAAAGTCTCATCATGGGCCACGGTGATTAGTAGTAGTGAAGAGCCTAAGTCATGGAGAATCTTTTGGGCTTGAAGTGTGTTCTGTCCCCGTCTCACACACAACACATACAAACAGACAGCCGGGGGTTAAATAAACTGGCAGACAACCAATTCTTCCGATAAGACGCTTGGCAGCAACCCAGTAGCTGCTTGCCAAGAACTTCAATAAACAAAATACCCACAGTCAAGAATTGTCCAGTTCGTAAAATAAATTCAAGGCCGATAATGTTGTTTCCAAAGATGCAATGTGACTCAATAGTAGTTAGTTTTGTCTGTCACAGAGTCTGAATGGCCACCTCACCCCCTTTTATATCCTGTGGGGTGTGGTCCAGTGATTCAGCCTAATCTTGGGCACGCCTTTTCTTCTGTTGCGCGCACTTATCTCTGCGACGCTGGCGTGGATCCAGCCAAGACTCATTACCCTCATCACTGTCCACCTGTGGCTGCATGGACGTGCTTGGCCCTGGCCCTATCTCTTGCCCTTCAGAGGACACTGAAAGCATTGCCAGAGAGGAGGGTCCTGGAGAGGGAGGCCTTGCCAACTCCTCTCCTTCACTCTCGGAGTCCTCTCCTGCCGATGACACAGGCTCAGGTAACGGAGCCACAACACAGTGTTGAAAATTCAGAATATGCCTAATTTGACTCTGTTGGTGCGTGTCTCTCTCACACTCACAGATGCACACAAGAAACAATGCTTTACACATTCATTTATTTAAAACAAAATTCAGTCCAATCGTGTGTGATCTTGCGTGTGATCCGCTTACCTTAAGGAAGTGTTCTCTTTCTGTTGATAGCTCTGGGTCATATAGGCTGTTCTTTCTTGAAGCAGCTTCAAAGAGAGTTGTTCTGTCATTCCCTCAGTCTCTGAAAACCACGTGAGAACCCCATTCTCACATGATTTTGGTCTGGGGCAGGGGTGAAATGCTCCCGGTTCGGACCAGATCACCCGATCCGGTAGCAATGGAGGCAGGTGGTTTGGAGAACCAGTAGCAAAAATCCCTGCCTGCCCCACCATGCCCAGCTGAGCCGTGCAATGATCAGAGGCTTTTTATTTTTATTTTTAAAAGCATTTTTTCTACCACCTCTTCGGCCGAAAAAATGCTTTTAAAAGTAAAAAAAAAAAAAAAAGCCTCTGATGATCCTGAGGCTCAGCTGGGATCATCAGAGGCTTTTAAAGCATTTTTTCTACAACCTCTTCAGACGAAGAGATCGGTTTGCTGTACTAAGAGTGGCCAGTTTCAAAACTGCTGGAATCTTAAAGTGATTAATCGGCCTGCGATCATGTACCATCTGGAATCATGTACCACCTTAGTCCTACCTGCCAGTAGGGAACACCATTCACAATTCATCGTTTTAGTTTCTGGACTGGGACGCCTTGCACACAGTCACTCACACCCTTGTCACCTCCCGGCTGGACTATTGTAATGCTCTCTACATGGGGCTCCCCTTGAAGAGCACTCGGAGGCTCCAACTGGTCCAGAATGCAGCCGTGCGGGTGGTTATGGGTGCAACTCGTTGTGCCCATGTGACGCCCCTCCTGCGCGAGCTGCACTGGCTCCCAGTGGTCTTCCGGGTGCGATTCAAGGTGTTGGTCACCACCTTTAAAGCGCTCCATGGCATAGGACCCGGGTACCTTCGAGACCGACTTCTGCCACCAATAGCCTCCCACCGGCCAGTTCGCTCCCACAGAGAGGGTCTTCTCAGGGTGCCATCGGTCAAGTTATGTCGGCTGGCGACACCCAGGGGGAGGGCCTTCTCTGTGGGAGCCCCAGCCCTGTGGAATGAACTGCCCCCGGAAGTGCGTAAGATCTCCGATCTCCGGGTATTTCGCTGTGCACTCAAGACCCTGTTGTTCCGCCAGGCCGGGCTATCAACGTAATGATTTTAAATTGGGTGTTTTAAATTTCTGGGGTTTTAAATTGAGCCAAATTATTTAATAATTTTAAATTATTTTAATTGATGTTTGTCTGGTGCTTTTAATAGGCTGTACACCGTCCTGAGTCCTTCGGGAGAAGGGCGGTATAGAAATAAAAATTATTATTATTAAATTATTAATTAGTTTAACAAAATGGCTTCCAAAAAGAGTCCTTGGCCCTTGGTCCTCTCCTCCTGCTGTTGATTTCTAGAAAGTGAACTAGAAGTATTTGGTCTGATGCCTGGGTTGGAACTCTCAACTCTATATTCTTGAGATCCCTTCTCAAAGCTAACCTCTTGCATTTCCTCCCCAAACAAACAAACAAACAAACAAACAAAAAAGATCCCAAAATCCCAAAGCAGGATAGATCCGTTTGCTGGTCTGATGAGATGGAGTGATCTTTTCATCGTCCAAGAATTCTTGGCATTTGAGGCCAAGGGTGGGGCTGCTGGGGGTTCACAGGGATTCGTGAGAACCTCTAGCTAAGGTTCTGTGCAGTTCAGAGAACTCCCAAATCCCACTCCTGGCTGGCCCCGCCCATCCCTTCCCTCCCAGGAGTCCCCACGCAGCCTGTTTTGGATGCAGGTAAGTACAGGGTGCGCACGGAGGCTCGGGGAGGGTGAAAAACGGGCCTACCAGAGGGCCTCCGGAGCCTGGGGAGGCCGTTTTCGCTCTCCGGAGGCTCAAGGAAAGCCTCCGGAGCCTGGGGAGGGCAAAAACACTCTCCCCCCCTCTGTGGTGCAGGAGGCCAACTAGGCCACGCCCACCATGGCCACGTCCACCCAGCAACAGGACAGAGAACCTCTTGCTAAAATTTTTGAAGCCCAGCCCTGTTTGAGGCACATTCCTCCTGGATACCAACCCTACTCTGATCACCCGTAGTAAAGTTGCCCTCCTCAGCCAGCCATCATGGCTTATGAAGATTATCCAGAAGTGTTAGAACGATGGTTTATTTTGAATCAGCTGATAAGTTCCTCTCTGGCTTCTACTAGATTTTAATACTGTTCCTCCTGGCAGTTTTCTTCCCATAACGGTATGCCAACTTTTATCTTAGCTTCTTCTTCGTTTGGCTGTTTCTGATAGCTATTGTAAGAGTATGGCCTCTTTCCTGCATGCCCCTCCAATGGATTATTTAAGAATAACTTGACTCATTTATATGAACGTTCTCTCTTATCTTTTTTTTTAAAAAAAATTTCCCCTCCTGTCTCATTTCAGAAAAGGTTCAGCCGACCAAAATGCGTCCCCCTGGCTTGAAATTCCGCCTGAAGAAGCGCACAAAAGTCTAAGAATGAACTCGGCTCCCCTTCCGTTTGTTTCTCAGGAACTCCAGAGGAACCAAAGCTCCCGTGTTCCTCCTTGCCCCCCACGCACAGCGAGCACCTCCTTCTCTCTAGTTCCCCGTTCAAAGCGTGGAGCCTTTACTATTGAGAGAAGGGCCACCACCACCACGTTCAACTCTCTGGCGGTGCTCCTCAAAGTCTTACTTGACTCGAACTGATAGTTATTTTTAAAATAATTAATTAATGCCCTGCAGCGTTTAATTTCACTGGTTTGTCATGAGACCAGCTGATTTCGTTCTGCATTTTTATTGTGTCTGTGACATTTTACTGTTGCTAAGTAAAGAAGAATGCCATGTCCTGCTCTCTTTTCTGCATCTCCTTGTTGTCGCTGTGTCTGTTTTTAAACTCTCTGTTCAGTAAGCAGGTAATGGTTATGCCCGTACTAGATCTTAAATGTGACTTCGGCTGTTCGTTGGCTAGAATTGTTGGGCCTGGTTCTCTTACTTTCTCCTCTTTTGGGTGAATGCTGATGTTGCTGTTTATAGATTTATTTCTCGATCAGGAGCCTCGTGGTTGGCTAAGCATGTGACCTCCCTGTGGTTTTTGTAGCTTACTTTTGCGTAGAAAAGTCCCAATTCGGGCCAGTGCAAACGCAGCAGTTACAGAGACACAGCCTATTTTGGAAATGTTTCTTTTGGAAATGACGAAGACTAAGATGAAGAGACACAAACAGTGATAAGAGAAACTCAGTTTATAGCCTTTTCAGAATCAAGGGCCGGGGAGAAGGTTTAAGCTGAAGTCTCCTTGACAACTCCGTTCTTATCTGCAAATAATTTGTAAAAGGCATTGGGGAAATTCATAATACACATAGACTAATAAAAGAGGAAAATAACTAATTTTATTCTGCTTAACGAATAAACTGGCTCTGTGTTTCACTGAGCTCTACTGTCCTGCTAAAGAAGAGGCTGCAGAGAAGCTGGTAAGAAATAGATTTTAAGAAAGAAATTCAGATAAGGGAAACTGTCTTTTTTTTTTTTCCCTTTTAATTACCGAACTGATGTGGATATAGTTGAGTTTCCTGCAGTGATCTTGTGACTCAAAATAGGGCAGCTTGCTAAGCAATTGACGCTTCTTTCCTAGACAAAGATGAATGCTCGAAGGATAACGGGGGATGCCAGCATGAATGTCTCAACACTTTTGGTAGCTATGAGTGCCAGTGCCGCAGTGGCTTTGTGCTACACGACAACAAGCATGACTGCAAAGAAGGTATTACGCCTTATTTTCTGCATGAAAAGGGCTCCCACTGTGAGTCTCCAATGACTATTTGCCATAATGTTTCACTAAACTCCATATTGGGTGGGTGGGGGGGAGTTATTTGACTCAAGTTGTCTACTTATGTGGATGCTCTCCATATCCAACATGGTAATATTATTATTATTATTTTATTATTATTTATTGGTTAATCTTTAGTGAGATTCACAGCCTTTGAGGCTGGATAATAGCTCAGCAGCTCGAGTCCTAACCAAGGACTTAGGAACTGTTAAGGTATCGTCGGAGGATGTAAGCTGTTCCGAGTAAGGTGGTTTTTTGTAGAGTCAAAATGTTCAAGTCCGGCAAATTTAGAATTTCTAAATAGCGGGGTAGCCCTTTGGGTATTGCTCCAAGGGCTCCAATTACAATCGGGACAACACACAATTTCTTTTTCCACATTATTATTATTATTATTATTATTATTATTATTATTATTATTATTATTATTATTATTTGAATTTCTATACCGCCCTTCTTCCGAAGGACTCAGGGCGGTGATCAGAATAAGATTTCATATACATATAATAATTTTTTTTATATATATAAACAGTAAATAATAAATTGAGTCAACTTAGTGTATCTGCTAAGACCTTGGCATAGAATTTAGATGTTTATGCTAGCCCTGCTTGTTGAAACAGAAAGGTCTTCAGGGCACGTCGGAAAGTGCGAAGATCTGGGATTATTCGTATTCCAGGGGGTATTTTGTTCCAAAGAGTAGGTGCCCCCACAGAGAAGGCTCTCTCCCTTGGAACTACTAGACGACATTGTTTTAATGATGGTGCTATGAGTAGGCCTACTCTGTGAGAGCGTAGTGGTTGATGGGAGGTTATCGGTTGCAGCAGGTGGTCTCGTAAGTACTCAGGTCCTAAGCCATGGAGCACTTTAAAGGTAAGAACCTAAAGAGCCTTGATAGTACAGTGGTTACGCACCCTGTTATTAACACAGCTGCCTGCAATTTACTGCTGGTTCGAATCTCTCCAAGGCTTGAAGCGCACTCGGAAGGCCACCGGAAGCCAGTGCAGCTCGCGTAGAAGAGGTGTTACATGTGTTACAATATGTTTGCATTGCATTCATTGATTTCATTTTGGTCTAGTGCAGAGGTATCAAACTGGATTTTTTTGACGGCCGGATCAGCATTGTTCTCTGTGGGCCGGCGGGAGGAGGGGGGGAGACAGGACAGAAGCCTCCTGCAGCACCCTGCCGTCCAAAACAGGGCACCGGGGGGGGGTGTCACATGCAGCCCCTCTGTGCCTTGTTTTCGGCCTCCATGGACTCCTGCAGCACCCCACGCAGCCCGTTTTCAGCCTCCCCGGCCTCCAGCAGCATTCTGCCGGCCAAAAACATGCCGCACAGAGGCCTCGTGGGGCCTCCTCATGGCCCATATTTGGCCGCCTTGGAACCCCTGGTCTAGTAGTTAAGGCACCAGGCTAGAAACTGAGAGACTATGAAGTCCAGTCCCATCTTTGTCAGGTGGCCTTGGAGCCAATCCTTTTCTCCCAGCCCAACCCACCTCACAGGGCTAGTCATTGTGAGGAAAAGAGGAAGAGGATGTGGGTTGGATAGGCTCACCGCTTTGAGTTGTTTATAAAAATAACAAGGATGGGATATAATTTAAAATAAAATATTTATTTATTTTATTTAGTCCAATTTATATGCTGCCTTTCTCCGGAAACTCAGGGCGGCTTACAATATATTTAAAAAACCATTATAAAAAACACTTAAAATTAAAATATTAAAACCCATTCGCACCATTCATGGCCGGATCTCACAAGATCGCAACAGCGAGATCAACAGCCCCAGGTCTGCCGGAAAAGCCAGGTCTTCGCCGCTTTTCGGAAGGCCATCCGAAATAAATAAATCTCATATCTTTGCAAGAGACGCACAATCCATGTTTTTCAAACATGGCAATTTTAATACGTGTAGATTCTATAAAATGAACAGCCACGGTGAAAGAGTGCACTCCTGTCTAACTCCTTGTAGGAGACGACCAAGCTGAGCCCGAGGGAGGGATCAAACGAGTCATCAGTCATGAGTCCCTGCGTGCCCACAAGAAATCTAAACCCAGCCCACCTTGAATCTTTACGTATACTTTTCTGATTTCCCCGATGTTTAACACTCCTTTTCCTATGGGAAATATTTTCGGTATTACCAAATTCTATAGCTTCCAGATTTCAAAAGAATCAAATCCTGGGATGTACTCATTGCTTTGAAAGATGTCCAAAGTCTTTGATGATCAACAGATCAAAAGCTTTGGAGAAGCATAAAACAGAACTGGAGCTCTTTTGGATACTACCTTGCTCTTTTCATCACCCAGGAAATGTTCATATATAGCCATGCTGTTTCTTTCCATATTTATTCACAGAAGGCTATCATGATCTTTCTTGTTCCCGTAGTGTTCAGTAGAGGTCTGTAAAGCACTGTGAAGCGGTATATAAGTCTAAGTGCTTATTGCTTATTGCTTTTGGAACTTGTCTATTTATCAACTTATTTTTTATTTTAGCTGGCTGTGATCACAAGATGACATCCATCACTGGAACCATCACCAGCCCAAACTGGCCTGATAAATACCCAAGCAAGAAGGAATGTAGCTGGGCAATAACAACTACACCAGGACACCGTATCAAATTGGTAAAGTACCAGGAAGAAGATAGCAAGATAACCAGAGACACAAATATTAATAGATTCTGGTTTTATTCCCATAATGGAATATTATTCCATGCTGGGCATCAAAGAAACGAAAGTCTTTTCATTGACTATATTATTGATTGATTGATTGATTGATTGATTGATTGATTGATTGATTCGATTTATATGCCGCCCTTCTCCGGAGACTCAGGGTGGCTTACAATGTGTTAAGCAATAGCCTTCATACTTTTGAATATACCTGCTTAGTAGGGCTTTTGGCCCCCCCCAAGCGGTGTTCTTTTTTATACAAAGTCAGCTTATTGCCCCCACAATCCGGGTCCTCATTTTACCTACCTCGGAAGGATGGAAGGCTGAGTCAACTTTGAGCCTGGTGAGATTTGAACTTGCAGTAATTGCAGGCAGCTGGCAGCTAAGTGCTATTTAACAGCACTTTAGTCCGCTGCACCACCGAGGCTCCTAACTATAAAAGGACAGAATAAAATTATTAGGGAAGCAAGATCGTAATTTAAGTATTATCTGAACAGCGTGACTCCTTGTTAGCATCTGCGGTCCTCCCACACATGACTTCATTAATCCAGAAAACTCCTGCCCACGTGGCTTCTGCGGATTACATGATTTCAAATATGATAGTGACATCCAAATTTGCGAGGATGTCAATATGCTCTTCTTCCGGCAATCATGTCAACCAGAGGCGTCAGGAGATTCAATTCCCATAACAACACAGAACCAGCCAGGGAAGCATGAGGAAGTTCAAGTCCAAAGCGTTCAAAGTGTACTGGGATTCCATAGTGTGAGTCACATCTGACGTTCTTAAGGTACACAACTCAACCCAAGATGAAATTATTCTGGAAACGTAGCCAGCTATTTCATTTCACAAGTGATGTCTTGCAACACACTATGAGCAATTCAAAGTAATTCTCCATTTAACATGAGTTGCTGACAAAAGAATAGACTAGAACAGTGATGGCGAACCTATGGCAGACGTGCCACAGGTGGCACGCGGAGCCGTATCTGTGGGCACGCAAGCGTTGCCCTAGCTCAGCTCCATCATGCATGTGCATGCCGGCCAGCTGATTTTCGGGCCTTCCGGGCCCACCAGAAGTCAGGAAATGGGCTGTTTCTAGCCTCCGGGAGGGGAGGCTGTTTTCACCCTCCCCAGGTGCCAAGAAAGCCTCTGGAGCGTGGGGAGGGTGAAAAACGGGCCTACTGAACCTACCAGTAACCTATTTGCCGTCGCGTGCCAAAACTTGATGGGGGAATGCAGGGGGGTCGTGCACATGTGTGGGGGGTGGGTAGTGCATGGGGGAGCATTGAATTATGGGTGTGGGCACACATGACCCCTCTGTGCTCCCCGCACTTTTGGCACGCGACGGCAAAAAGGTTAGCCATCACTGGACTAGAATATAGAATAGAGCTGGAAGGGAACTTGGAGGTCTTACTTACTTACTTACTTTATTTGATTTATATACTGCCCTACTCCCGAAGGACTCAGGGCGGTGAACAGACAAACAGTAAAAATACATAGATACAAAATTTAAAAACAAAATAACATCGAATTAAATAATTTGGCCCAGACAGATTAAAACACCCTAATCATTTAAAAAACCAATTAAAATTTGCATAATTAAAAAGAGGGAAAAGATTAGGCCAGGCCCGCCTGGTGGAATAAAAAGGTCTTAAGAGTGCGGCGGAAGGTGCGCAGATCTGGGATCCTCCGTATCTCCAGGGGGAGCTTGTTCCAGACAGTAGGTGCCCCCACAGAGAAGGCTCTCCCCTTAGGGGCTGCCAGTTGACATTGTTTGGCTGACGGCACCCGGAGGAACCCCTCTCTATGAGAGCGTACCGGCTGGTGGGAGGCTATTGGTGGTAGCAGGCGGTCCCGTAGATAACGAGGTCCTAAGCCATGGAGCGCTCTAAAGGTGGTAACCAAAACCTTGAAGCGCACCCGGAAGACCACCGGAAGCCAGTGCAGCTCGCGCAGGAGAGGTGTTACATGGGAACACCTTACATGAGGTCTTCTAGTCCAACCCAAGTAGGACCCTATACCATTTCAGACAAGTGATTGTCCAGTCTCTTTTCAAGAGCCTCCAGTGATGAAGCACCATCAACTTCTGGTGGCAAGCTGTTCCACTGGTCAATTGTTCTCACTGTTAGCAAGTTTCTCCTTAAATTCTGAGTTGCTTGTCGCCTTGATTCGTTTTCTATCCATTGTTTCTTGTCTTGCCTTCTGGTGCTTTGGAAAATAAGCTGACTCCCTGTTCTTTGAGGCAGCCCCTCAAATACTGCTCCCCTAATCCTTCTTTTCCCTAGACAAGCCATACCCAATTCCCGCAACCGTTCCTCATATGTTTTAGCCTCCAGGCCCTTAATCGTCTTAGTTGCTCTTTTCTGCATTTTTTTCCCTCCAGTTTCAACATCTTTTTTATAATGTGGTGACCAAAATGAAGGTGTGGTCTCACGAAAATTTTAGAAAACCAGTACTAATATCTCTATGGAGATTCTCCGTCATTCAAGTCATAGTTTTGCCCCTTTTCAAGAGGCAACTGGATTTTCTTGATTTTTCTTTGAAGACATTTGAAGAAGAGAAGTAAAACATCTTCAAAGAAAACCCAGAAAGTCCAGTTGCCTCATGAAAAAGCATCTTTGGGACCAGTAACTAATATGTCATGTAACCTTAACTCTATGTTCTAGCCCAGCTACGGACCCCAAAGAACGCAGCACATACGAACTCTACACAAAGCTTATTTACTCAAAATAATTTAGTCTTTATCATTCAAAGGCTGTTAATGCACTGTCTTAACAGCCTACCAGAATTCTACGATAAGGTAATCACAGTCTTACTAGAGTTGGCAGAAAGCCCAGAAGCAGTTTTGCAGACACAAAAGAGAGTGAACTAAAGTTGTTCTCTACAGCTTGTTGCAAGTGGAGTTCCTTCTTAAATAGGCTAAGGGAGTGGCCAATTAGCCCCAAGTCTTACTCTCGCAGAAACTTCCTCCTGAGAAGCCACTCCTGCCTTTTGGGCGCTCTGCGCACCCATGCATTGAGAAGAAGCTCCTCCTCTTCATCCTCTTCACTTAAAGGAGCTTCTAAATGCCCTGGCTGAATCCCTGCCTCTGGCACCACATCTTCTCCAGCCTCCTCACTGTCTGACTCGAGTGCCAGCTGCACAGGCTGCACCAGTCTCCTCGTTGTCGGAATCAGCTACAATCTGCACAGGCCGCTGACGGGCCACAACACTCTATGGCTCTGTTTATGCAATCAAGGATCATATTAGCTTTTTTTTTTTTTTTGGGCTGCTGCCGCACAGTGCTGTCACATATTTAATTGATCATCCAGTAGGACTCCCAAGATCTCTCTCACAGTTACTATTTTTGAGCCAGGCAGGTTTCACCCAAAATCTATATTTGTACGTTTGGTTTTTCCTGCCTAAATGTAAAACCTTAGTTTTCTCTATGTTGAGTTTCATTTTGTTGGATAGGGCTCAAAAGTACTGTACATGTAATGTATCTAGAGACGGGTTGCACATTATGTTGTTACCGGTTCAACACATGTGCACATGCTTGCTTCATGTGCGTGACAGGGGTGGGTTCTACTTACCTTTACTACCGGTTCGCAGTAGGGCCGCGTGCTCTTCTGCGCATGTGCAGAAGCGTTTTGATGACATCGGGGTCGGTGGGTGGAGCCTCCCACCGGTTTTACTACCGGTTATATAGAACTGGTGCGAACCGGGGGCAACCCACCACTCGCGCCCGGTTCACACTCGTGCCTGCCTTCCACAATGCACCCAGCTTTCCACGCATGTATTTTGCTTGCATGTGTGCCTTCCGCATTTGCGCCCAGCCTCAAAAACATCCCTAAATAGAACGACATAGATTTTCACTACCGGTTCGGGCAAATTGTTCCGAACCTGCTAAACACCACCTCTGAATGTCTCTCTCTCTCTCTTTTTTTTTTTTTTTAACTGCAATTCTTTTTCAGACCTTCAGAGAGCTGGATATCGAACTCCACCAGGAATGCACATATGATCACGTAGAGGTTTACAACGGAAAAGATGCGAAAGCTTCCGTTCTGGGACGATTTTGTGGATCGAAAGAACCGGATCCTATCATCTCTACTAGCAACAGGATGTTCCTCAGATTTTTTTCAGACAACTCCATTCAAAAGAAAGGCTTCGAGGCAGCCTATACATCAGGTAACCCTCAGGGCTGGCTTGTTACTATATTTTGGCAGTACTCCACCAGAATAGTAGTGAGGAAAAGGCTTCTAAAGCGGATAGAGGCTTCCAATGTTGCCATCATCACAGCTTAAAGTTTTTGGTAGATCAAGACTGCCACTCTTCAGCCTTCCCCATAATAAATACATATATGTTTGGGGAGCCCTTTTGAGTTACCGTATTTTTCAGAGTATAAGACGCATCTTTTTCCCTCCCAAAAAAGAGGGTGAGAATCTGGGTGGGTCTTATACTCCGAATGTAGCCCTGCCCAGCTTCTCAAACGGAGGTTTCAGAGGCTGAAAAAAGCCTCAGAAACAGAGCTTCAGAAAAAAAAAGCCTCAGAAACAGAGCTTCAGAAAAAAAGCTTCAGAAACAGCTTCAGAAAAAAAGCCTCAGAAACAGAGCTTCAGAAAAAAAAAAGCTTCAGAAATAGAGCTTCAGAAAAAAAGCCTCAGAAACAGAGCTTCAGAGGCTTTTTTTCTGAAGCTCTGTTTCAGAGGCTTTCAGAGGCAGAAAAAAAGTTCTTTCTGAAATGGAGTTCCAGAAGTTTCAGAGGCAGAAAAAAAAAAAGCAAAAAAACCACAAAGCACAGAGCTCACAACCAAGGAACCTGTTGCTAAAATTCACCTCTGGGAACAGCTGATTGGGGGTATTCCGGGAGGCCGATCCATCCGCCAATCAGCTTTTTTCTTATTTTCCTCCCCAAAAACTAAGGTGCGTTTTATACTCCGAAAAATACGGTATTACATTACATTTTAAGAAGATGTTAAATGTTGCATTCTTCGCTTTCCACTACTCCACTGCTTCTAATAATTTTTTCCCAATTAGGAAAAATCTAGAACTTCTAGCTAGCAAGACTCATCTGTTGCACTGCATGGACATTAGAACGAGACCGTCTTCTTCCTTGGTGTCTAAACTTCTGTCCCTTCCCTCTAATCCAATTCTGAATTAAACTAAGATTCCTAATTTATGTTTTGAGTATTTTGTTCTTTCCAGAATGTGGGGGCCAGATGCGAGCTGAGGTAAAAACCAAGGATCTCTATTCCCACGCGCAATTTGGAGACAACAATTATCCCGGGGGTTCAGACTGCGAATGGGTGATTGTGGCGGAGGAAGGCTATGGGGTTGAACTCATCTTCCAAACCTTTGAGATTGAAGAAGAGGCTGACTGTGGCTATGACTACATGGAACTTTTTGATGGTTACGATGGAACAGCTCCACGTCTTGGACGCTATTGTGGCTCTGGGGTAAGATATTGTGCATTGCGTAGTTCTCTCCCCATACTTTTGCTTTACCCATAGCACATGTGACAACATTCCTCTGGTCTTTGGAGAAATGGGAGCAGAATACATGAAAATATTACGTCCTGGTGTAATTCGCTAGGATGAATTGGTGACACACCAACATCTCTCGGTGGTTGGAATTATGTTTTCTGCAAAAATTGTTGATGGTCAACAATGTTATTTTTAAAATGTGAAATCTCATAGGTAGCATGGAAGATTGGTACCGTGTTTCCCCGAAAATAAGACCTGGTCATATATTTATTTTTTGTTCTAAAAGACCCATTAGGGCTTATTTTCTGGCTGGGTCTTATTTTCGGGGAAACACGCTATCATGTGGTTTGAAAACAGAGGCAATATATTGAAGATACTGTACTTCCGTTGTTATGGAATTCATTTCTGGAACAACGGAGCTTCCATGTTTGTGTCTTTTGGCTTAGTAGACAGAAGATTCCGAGTTACGATTTGTAAGGTCTTACAAATGTAGATGTGACCTTGTACGTCTTGAGGAAGTTCTTTAACAAGTTCTTTTAATTCCTTTTTTACGTCTTTCTATGAAATCAGGGTATAAAATGATATTCTGGAGACTTAACACACATCCTGTTGTAGGTGATTTGTTCATGATAACAGAATTTTCTTCCTGGGGTTTTGTAAACCTCTAGAGCAGAGATCTTCAAACTTGGCAGCTTTAGGACTTGTGGACTTCAACTCCCAAAATTCTCCAGCCAGCACAGCTGGCTGGAGAATTCTGGGAGTTGAAATCCATAAGTCTTAAAGCTGCCAACTTTGAAGACCTCTGCTCTAGACATTACCTCATTCTGTACAAGTTGCAGGGGATGGGATGATAGAGCAAAACAATCAGGGTTGAATGTCACACGTGTGGCCAGTTGTGGGGATTTTTTGCTTTCCTGGGATTAGGCGTTTAGGGGTCCGTTGTTGTTTTTACTTCCTGGTTTCACATGTTCCTGATCTCAGAATGAAAGAAAGAACATAGCCAGTTTTGAGCAATTATACTACCATATGTAGCACTAGCACGTAAGACTTATATACCGCTTCATAGTGCTTTACAGTTCTCTCTAAGCGGTTTACAGAGTCAGCATCTGGCCCCCAATAATCTGGGTCCTCATTTTACCAACCTCGGAAGGATGGAAGGCTGAGCCAACTTTGAGCCGGTCAGGATCGAACTTCCTGGCTGTGGGCAGAGTTAGCCTGCAATACAGCACTTTAACCACTGCGCCGTCTTCTTTCCTTCCTTCCTTCCTTCCTTCTCCTTGCTTTCCTTCCTTCTTTCCTTCCTTCCTTCCTTCCTTCCTTCCTTCCTTCCTTCCTTCCTTCCATCCTTCCCAAGCAATAACACTTAGATTTATATACCACTTCACAGTGCTTTACAGCAGGAGTGGGTTCTACTTACCTTTACTACTGGTTCCCAATGGGGCTGCGCGCACATGCGCAGAACCTTCCTGATGACGTCGGGGTCGGTGGGCGGAGCCTCCCGCCGGTTTTACTACCAGTTCTATAGAACCGGTCCGAACCGGAGGCAACCCACCACTGCTTTACAGCCCTCTCTAAGCGGTTTACAGAGTCAGCTTATTGCCCCCAACAATCTGGGCCCTCATTATACCAACCTCAGAAGGATGGAAGGCTGAGTCAACCTTGAGCTGGTGAGAGTCGAACTGCTGGCAGTTGGCAGTCAGCAGAATTAGCCTGCAATATTGCATTCTAGCCATTGGACCATCACGGCTCTAGGAGATGTAATGAAGGAAGTCTGGGAAGCACTGGAAAAAAAAAAGGAGAATTTTTGTACCTCAGGGTTGAAATCAGGGGTGGGCTTCAAAAATTTTAGCAAGGGGTTCTCTGCCTGGTTGCTGGGTGGCCGTGGCCATGGTGACCGTGGCCTAGTCAGCCTCCTGCACCATGGTGGGGGAGCGTTTTTGCCCTCCCCAGGCTCCGGAGGCTTTCTTTGAACCTCCGGGAGGGTGAAAATGGCCTCCCCAAGCTCCGGAGGCCCTCTGGAGGCCGGAAATGGGCCTGTTTCTAGCCTTCCTGAACTTCCGGTAGGCCCGTTTTTCGCCATCCCCAAGCCTCCGCATACGCCCTGCACTTACCTGCATCCAAAACGGGCCATGAGGGTACTCCTGGGAGTGGCGGGGTGGGCGGGGCCAATCAGGAGTGGGATTTGGTTGCACAGAATCTTAGCTAGAGGTTCTCCCGAACCCTTGCGAACCCCCAGCAACCCACCCTCGCCCTACTGCTATTTTTTGGGGGGCACTTAAAATGTCCTTAAAAGGACCGTGGGATTGTGTGTGAAGCCAGGAGATCCTCGTGGATGTCTGGCTACCAGTCCATCTGTTACTCATTTAGCACCACCCAGGAGGCACGTGTGGCTTAAGGGTTGCCACGGACGCAAGTAACTTTGCCTCCCACCCCTGCCCTGCATGCATTATACTGTAATGACATATCTCTCTCTCTGTATTCCATTATACTGGTATCTACTAGTGGTATCCAGTCATGATGAAAATGCAGGATCATATCTCCCAAACCCCTGCGAACCCCCAGCAGCCCATCCCTCGTTGAAATAAGGGGTCCTTGGGGTCCAAGGCGTTCCAAGGACCCCTTCAAAAAGATGATAAAGACTTTGAGTTATCCTGGCGTACACAAGTTATTGTCAGGTTTCGATGCTATCTCAAAATAAATGAACTTCCAAACTGCCAATCTTTAAGGAAATTTTCTCTTAATTCGAGCACAGCAACCGGATCCTGACTCTTCGCGGTCAATACTGACCTTTGCCCCCCAATCCCTCCCTTTCCGATCCCCAATTCTCTGCTTCTCATTGGCTATCTTCCAAGTCACTTTCCTGATCCCTTCTTCGTCAGATCACAGGAATGTCTCCCCCCTCTCCCATCTCCGAGGAGACAGAATCTTCAAAGGGATTTAGCAGGCAAAAGTTCAGGCTTCATCCTCCCTTTTCTATGTCAGTGCTGAGACGCTGACAGTTATCTCACCCATCATCTTAAACCTTTTTTCTCTATCTTCTCCATTTTTTTGCTAGCCTCCAGAAGAGGTCTACTCCGCTGGGGACTCCGTGATGGTCAGATTTCACTCAGATGACACCATCAACAAGAAGGGCTTCCATCTACGGTACACCAGCACCAAATTCCAGGACACGCTGCACACACGGAAGTGATCTCCCAGGCTCCCCAAACCCCCTTCAAGTGAGAACAGCCTTCCCTTACTTGAGGGACAGGTTCCCACCGTTTGCAAAAAAAACAAAACAAAAAACGAAAACGAAAAGAAAAGAAAATGGAGAAAATTCACATAAACTGGAAGGAGAAATACACAGTACACCTCAGAGTGCAAAACACTCTCACAGAAATAAAGGTGCTGTCAGCTGCTCGGGGCCTACGTGGACTAGGCTCAGGGTTATTGGGGGACCCTTTGATTTTAGTTTTTTTTTGGACGTCCATTCCTGTGCCTCTTTTCTTTTTTTTTTGGCCGGAGTATCTCCAGGATTAACCACTTTGCAGCTTCCATCTGAGTTTCTGATGGTTTATGACAGAGCTGTCCAAACGTGGCCATTTTATGATCTGTGGACTTCAACTCCCAGAATTCCCCAGCCAGCCATGCTGGCTGGGGAATTCTGGGAGTTGAAGTCCACAGGTCTTAAAAGTGTCTAGTTTCGACACCCCTGGTGTATGGTTTAAAATAAAGCCAGTGTTTTCCTTTACAAATTCCATAAAGCGAGTTTACCGGCAGAGATGTCGGCCAATACAAATACATAGTGGAGAGGCTACCAGGCTGGCGGAAGCTGTGTCTGTCGTAATGATGTAATAAATACGCTTTCTTGTACTCCTAAACAGATGCCCATCGGCCTCTTTCCAACTTTACCATTTGTACCATTTTTTTTAAAAAAAAATTCTTTCATCTCCAAGAAAAAAAAAATATGTAACTTGAAAAATGTCTTGCTCCTTCCTTCACTAACTTCTTTTTTTAAATTAAAATTTGAATTGAAACAAAAAGCATAACGTTGCATTTCCGCTTGTCCTGTCTATAAAAAAAGAACAAGGGATGAAGGCAGAGAGAGCAAATCTGTTATTTCTGTGGAGTGAATCTTTCTGTTCTTGGGTTTCTGTTTTCTGAGATGCTTTCACGTCCTTAGAGCTATTGATGGGTAGATTTTATCCTTAATAGATCTTGAGGGAAAAGGAAGAGTGAAGAAATGATAGAAAAACAATAGCTTCCTTTGAGACATATAGCAATAGCACTTAGACTTATATACCGCTTCACAGTGCTTTACTGCTCTCTCTAAGCGGTTTACAGAGTCAGCCTCTTGTCCCCAACAATCAGGGTCCTCATTTTACCCACCTTGGAAGGATGGAAAGCTGAGTCAACCTTGAGCCGGTTAGAGTAGAGTAGAGTAGAGTAGAGTAGAGTAGAGTAGAGTAGAGTAGAGTCGAGTCGAGTCGAGTCGAGTCGAGTCGAGTCGAGTGTAGAGTAAAGTAGAGTGTAGAGCAGAAAGAACAGAACAGAACAGAACAGAACAGAATAGAATAGAAATCAAACTATATGCAGGCGGCAGTCAGCAGAATTAGCCTGCAAATACTGCATTCTAACCACTGCACCACCACGGCTCACTATATTCCTAATATCATGGTGATTTGGTTTCATTCCAATTAATTTCCGTCCTCACATGTCTGCCATATAGTCATCAAGCAATGTCAACTTGGGTTGTAATTGTGGATTCATATACAAAACAGCTGCCATTTTTTTTTTACTTGTCTCCACTGAAATTTGACCCAAATTTTTATGAATCATATTTTACCGGTATAATTACAACTGGTCGCTTACTGACCAAAGTTAGGATGGACCTCCCAAAAGCGACTTACGATCGGTTCTGAAGGTATAACATATGCCCGTTCCCTCCGCCAGAATCATCTGACTGCATTTTGTCACTAGGCAACCAGCCCATATCTTGCCCGTTGTTACATGACCAGTTTGCTCAATGACCGCAATCTCAGCACTTTCAGTTCCAGTCATTAAGTGATCTCACAGGTTGTTAAGCAGACAAGGTTCTAGGTAAGGAGTACCAGGTGCCTCAGGGTCAGGGTGGAGATACTGGGAGATCTCGTGCAGGCTGTAGGTGAGTCTCTCTCTCTCTCTCTCTCTCTCTTCTCAGGAGTTGAAAATCCACCCTGCCAAAATCTCAGGGGTGGGATTCAGCTGGTTTGGACAGGTTCACGCAAACTGGATGTTAGTTTTAATCTGGTTCGCCGAACCAGTAGTTGCAAGGACTGGCTGACCCCGTTCACCCCGCCCTGCCCCTCCCAGGAGTCTCCACACAGCCCGTTTTGTATGCCAGGTAAGTGCAGCGCCCACGCGGAGACTCTGAGAGGGCAAATAACGGGCCTCCCAAAAGTCCGGAAACAGGCCCGTTTCTGGCCTCCGGAGCCCAGGGGAGGCTGTTTTTGCCCTCCCAGAGGCTCAAGGAAAGCCCACGGAGCCTGGGGAGGGCAAAAAACGAGCCTACTGGAAATCTGGAAATGGGCTCATTTTCGGCCTCCAGAGAGTCTCCAGAGCCCGAGGGAGGCCATTTTCACTCTCCCGGAGGCTCAAGAAAAGCCTCCAGAGCCTGGGGAGGGCGAAAACACCTCCCCCCCACCTGCCATGATGCAGGAGGCTGAGTAAGCCACGCCCACCATAGCCACGCCCACCCGGCAGAGAACTGGCTGCTAAAAATTTCGAAACCCACCCCTGAAAAATCTAAGCAGAATTTTCAGCACAGGGTGAATCTTTTTCAGCCAGTGCCCAGGAGACCAGAGGTCTCTTTCTTGTCTCCTGGAAGCGGTCAAAAAAAGGTCCATCTCCAAATCCAAACAGGATTTTCATCCATGGAGGATTTACAAGAGGCGTTTGTTTCATTTCTGGGGCCGGTTGCAGAAGGCTGGCTGATTTTCTGTGGAAGCTCAACAGAGAAGATTGAACCTGGCGATCACACAATCACAGGGTGCTTGGCAACAGATTGTAAGTGCAAACTGGTTGCCAAGCATCCAGATTGCAATCACAAACCAGGAAGGTGCTGAAACAGCTGTAACTTCAGGCCTGGGGTGTTTTAGCCCCTTTGTTTAGTGCCCCTGCCACTGTTAATTTCAGAAGGTCACTGAAAGAATGCCCATTAAATGAGGATTACACGTATAGCAGTGGCGTTCTATAAACACGATATCATGTATCTGGGTTTTGCCAATGAGAATAGAAGGGTGTATTAAAACATCAAGTAGCCTTGATAGTACAGTGGTCTACGCACCCTGTTATTAACACAGCTGCCTGCAATTTACTGCTGGTTCGAATCTCTCCAAGGCTCAAGGTTGACTCAGCCTTCCATCCTTTCTAAGGTAGGTGAAATGAGGACCCAGTTGTGGGGGCAATAAGCTGACTTTGTATAAATATACAAAAGGATGAAGGCTATTGCTTAGCGCATTGTAAGCCGCCCTGAGTCTCCGGAGAAGGGCGGCATATAAATCAAATTTAAAAAAAAAAGTAGATTGTTTCCAAGATCTCAGAGAGACAATATTAAGTGCCATTTTCAAACATGACTAACTACAGAGTGGTTGTAGGAAATGCTTTTATGTAAGGTTTCCACTCATGGGTGTGATACCATGAAAAGAAACTAGCCACAATCACATCATCCATCTCTGGTTTAGAATAGCAGTATTTTCTGAACCTACTGGTGTCAGAACCTGCTGAATTTCACCCCTGCCCCAAGGGCTCTCTTGTCATTGCAAAGTTCAAGAATAAGAATAAGAATAATTTTATTTCTATACCGCCCTTCTCCCGAAGGACTCAGGGTGGTGTACAGCCTATTAAAAACACAAGACAACATCAGTTAAAATAATTTAAAATTATTAAATGAATTCGGCTCAATTTAAAACCCCAGGAATTTAAAATCCAATTTAAAATGGTTATGTTGATAGCCCAGCCTGGCGGAACAACAGGGTCTTGAATGCACAACGAAATACCCGGAGGTCGGAGATCTTACGCATTTCCGGGGGCAGTTCATTCCACAGGGCTGGGGCTCCCACAGAGAAGGCCCTCCCCCTGGGTGTCGCCAGCTGGCATAACTTGGCCGATGGCACCCTGAGGAGACCCTCTCTGTGGGAGCAGACTGGCCGGTGGGAGGCTATTGGTGGCAGAAATCGGTCTTGAAGATACCCGGGTCCTATGTCATGGAGCGCTTTAAAGGTGGTGACCAACACCTTGAATCGCATCCGGAAGACCACTGGGAGCCAGTGCAGCTCGCGCAGGAGGGGTGTCACGTGGGCACAATGAGTTGCGCCCATAAACACCCGCGCGGCTGCATTCTGGATCAGCTGGAGCCTCCGAGTGCTCTTCAAGGGGAGCCCCATGTAGAGAGCATTACAGTAGTCCAGCCGGGAGGTGACAAGGGCGTGAGTGATCGTGCGCAACTGTGGCTCCATTAATTCTATCCCTCTGTTAATGCAGCCTAGAACTGCACTGGCTTTTTTTTAGAGCCTCTCTGTCCAAGGGATCTGCAGAACAATGTTAATTTCCACTCATTATACCGGGAACTATTTCCTACAACCTTTACATCACTACTAGGAATTTGAAATCTCAAATATGTGTAATGTGGAAGGCTCTAACCACTAACTCCTGGAGCACAGTACATGACATCTACAGGATATTATCCAAATCTCAGGAACAGGTGTTTCAGCATGCTTTTAGGCAGTTTCCCATGAATTTTAATCGGGTTTCCCAAGATAATGTACAGTAGGTTGTAACCAATGACTAGGACAGCAATTTGGCCTAACATGAAAAGTTGATTATTTTCCAAGTATGAATGTAAATTCTTTATTACTCTATAGCAAGAGTTATTGAGATGGGTGGAATGAAGATGCAGGAATGCAACAATTGAATTGTTTCCCCATTTAGAACTAATTTATTGCTGTAAGAGGGATGCGGTGGCTCAGCGGCTAAGACGCTGAGCTTGTCGATCGAAAGGTCGGCAGTTCAGCGGTTCGAATCCCTAGTGCCGCGTAACGGGGTGAGCTCCCGTGACTTGTCCCAGCTTCTGCCAACCTAGCAGTTCGAAAGCACGTAAAAAATGCAGGTCGAAAAATAGGGACCACCTTTGGCGGGAAGGGAACAGCGTTCCATGCGCCTTTGGTGTTGAGTTATGCCGGCCACATGACCACGGAGACGTCTTTGGATAGCGCTGGCTCTTGGGCTTTGAAACGGAGATGAGCACCGCCCCCTAGAGTCGGGAACGACTAGCACGCACGTGCAGGGGAATCTTTACCTTTACCTAAGAATTGTCAGGTTTTCTTACTCCAGTTGGGAGGAAAATAGAACAGTTCAGAAGTATTTTTTTTACAAAGTGTTCCACTACTTGCAGGCTAAAAGGACAACCTTTTACAGGTAGTTCTTGCTTCACAATCCTACCTGGGATAAGTAACTCCATCGTACTTACCTTCAGTTAATCAAGTGAAGCGGTTAAGTAAAACATCACATGACCACACATAACCAGTGTGGCAAGAGGAGGTCGTATAATGGGGCAAAACTCACTTAACAAATGTCTCACTTAACAATGGAGATTTGTAACAGCGTTCTGTGTGCCTTTGGCGTTGAGTCATGCCGGCCACATGACCACGGAGACATCTTCAGACAGCGCTTTGAAACGGAGATCAGCACTGCCCCCTAGAGTCAGGAACGACTAGCATATATGTGCATGGGGAATCTTTACCTTTACCTATTGCTATAATGGAAAGGTTTTTTCCCTAACTTATGATCTGGGGAGGAGGTGAGTGTTTTCACTGATAATGAAGCTTGCAGTTCCATTCAGATAATAACCTTTATCTGCCTATTCTAATTGTAATAGGCACGATCCCTAATTTAACATGCAGAGATTGAGTGGTTTGCGAATTAGAACAGCAGCCTCTTGATATGCTGTGAATATCAACAGTTAAAATATCATTAAACCTTACTGATATCAGCAGAATATTTTGCA